CTTAATAAAACGCCCTCACGCCAATTGTGTACGACTATCTTGTGTTGGGAGGGGACTTTTTTTCCAGGCATTCATTGGGATGAAAGGCTTCCGATTGCCTCGAATGCATCTGCGCAATACAAAACGTTTGACAGCTTTATTTCGAGTTTTGCTTTGAACCACCAGGTTGGATTTTCTACGCGTTTCGATGCTAGATGAAATAGCACGTTGGATTTAATATTCAGCAATGAAAGTTCTATTGCATCATCTGTCTCAACTCTTCCTGGCATCAGAGATCATTTGATAGTAATCTTAAAAAATAAAGTGCGCAAAGAAATAAATAGCGAGTATGACCCCGAGGAAAATACTTTTTTTAAGATAAAGGTGACTTGCGAGCATGGCAGACGAGCTTTTTAATATTGTCGCTTCGTTCCAAGAAACCAGTTGTCATGTTGATATAGATACGTTATGGGATGTGTTTAAAACAAAGTTAGAAGCCCTCGTTGACACTTACATTTCCTCAAAAGTTATCACGCCCAGAAAATGGAAAGGTAAACCATGGATGAACGAAGAGCTACAAACTATTAGTAATAAAAACAGGCATGCATATGTGAAATAGCGAACAGATAGCAATCCTTATACTCTGTGCCGCCTAAGAGAACTCACAGCACTTCTTAAAAGTAAGGTGTCGTACTTGAAGACCATATACCTCCACTACCTTGACGATAGATTAAAGCAAAACCCGAAGGAATCCTGGAAGTTCGTAAAAGCATCCAAGGACGACACGACAGGCATTTCTCCAGTCACCGATTCAGATCGGCTTGTTGAAAACGATAAGGAAAAAGCGATACTCTTCAACAACTATTTTGAATCCGTATTTTCGTCACCCATAGTGGTTGTCCTTTAAGCTTTTTTGCCTATAGAAAATAGCATAACTGACGTCGAAATAAGCCCAAGACGGGATTCTAAAAGTCATAAACAATTTAAATGAAAATAAATCTAGCGGCCCAGACGGGATTTCAAGCCGGGTACTAAAGGAGCATTCGGGTATTTTGTCCTTTTTCTTGTACGCATTATTCGATAATTCTTTACCTTCTGGTGACTACCCATGCAATTGGAGAAAGCGAATGTTGAGCCGGCTCACAAAGGCGGGGAAAAAAAGCAGAAAACTACAGAGCTATTTTCCTACTTTGTGTATGGTCAAAAATATTAGAACATATAATTAATCGCAACTTATCTGGGCAGAAATAATTTTTATTCCAAATCAGCACGGTTTCAGAAGCGGTATTTCGCGTGACACAAAGCTAGTTGAATTTTACCTCTTCTTCATCCAAACCAAGTACGCGCGTGTGCGTGCTGCATTAAGCAAGGTTGCAAGCATCACAACTACGACGAGTTCTTCCTTGTGTGTGAGACGAAGATCAAGTTGGCCGTGCTCCCAGACTCACCACGTCGGAAGATGACGCGACATTTTCAGGTCAGTGGGTGATTTCAAGATTTAAGGCGGAGTCACTTAGGCATCAATTCTCAATCCATTCTCACCTCAAAAATGCAGGAATGTGGGTCGAAGCCTTCACTCTGACTGGTACCGGTTATTTCACTGGCTACAGAAAAGTGTGCAAGTTAATGCGGCTTCTGTTACTCGTGTAGAATGTTTTTCACCCCAGCATATAATAAATCTGCGTTTGTTTGCGCTGGATAAACAAACTGTAAAATCTTTAGACACGGAGACTGCCTTTCGAATGCACGAAAACTCAGTCGCGCAGGAGCGTTGCCATTGAGGATTTTCTACACAGGTATGAAACCCAGACGACCAGGCGAGTCAATCGTAACCACCTTTACTAGAACACTCAGTTGCGAAACTCGCCGTCGAAACCTGGGCCGCTGGCGTCCACCGAGACCGAGCTAAATACGACAACAGCGCCACTCTTTATCATGTGTCTGTACTGTGGTCACCTTGAGCTTTCAGAAAGCATGTTGTTGCGTGAAAACAAACGGAAAAAAACTGTTTTTGTAGTAACTTTATTGGAGATTAGTACAAAATGAAGGGCGCGTGACATTTTCTAAAATCTTTAGTTTGCAAGGTTTTGTAACACAAATAATGTTATTTTTATTCAACCATGCCGCAGCGGTGCTTTCAGGCAGCGCGTCCCGATATAGGTGCATCTTAACTTCGGTAGTAATTCTCGGCGTGTCTGCTTGGGAGACGGGGGTGACACCCCTGAAACAACTTCCACCGTATCTGTTTCGGCGCCAAAATGGCCAATTAAAGCCAAAATAGAAGTCACGTGCAGTTCCTCGAGTGGCCGCTGCGGGAGAAATGGCGGCGTTGTGATCGCCATTAGCTCGGTTCTCGAGTACGGATCGGTGCCACTTTTTTAGAGCAGTCTATGGCATTTTCCAAACTGAGCAGTTCTAGTACCGTTGATCGTAACCAATCTGAGCAATGCTCACTCTACGCACGTACAAGAAAACCGTATACAGGGATGGGCAGTATTTCAAATACAAGTATTTGAAATACGTATTTTAAATATTTGTGTATTTTGCATCTGTATTTAATTACAAATTGTGTAATGTATTTGACGTGTGTATTTAAATATTAAAACGTGGGTATTTCAAATACAATTGTAATTAAATAAAATTTTATGGGCGAAAATACATCCCTCAAATTTATTGTCACGACTCATTTTGCTCATCCTAAGAAGTGTCCAGACAGGAAGAAAACTACGTTCTGCACCGAATGCCGTGTCTCTCAATCAAACACAAGCGTTTAGTGACTTCGTGCTTACGGTGCTAGTCCAGGGCAAGAATAGTGACGAAATCGACGTTCACAGGCAGACTGGCTAAATAAGTGCATGTGACAACTTGTGATGCTTTCCAGCCTGATTTCCATCCATATTTTTGCCTGGAACATTCTAAATGCGCGGGTCGTTCAGATTTTCGTAACTGGTGCGAGTTGCAACAATAAAAAACTCTCTAGCTAGTTCTGCGAGTCTTAGTCGTCTCGGTCCTGTGTTGGTCTATACCAAAATGTAATCGACAAAAAAAAACTGCTTGAAGCTCTGTGCTTTTTTCACCTATTACGTCGAAGCTGATTACACTTTTTTCTGATTAAATTTTTATTACGTTACTAGAGCCTCGCACACTAACTCCCGAGTGTGCGATGCAAAATTAAAATGAGATACCCAGAAACCCGTTGCAGGTGCCCTGAACTAGCTGACGCAAACTTTGAGGAATGTATTTGAAAGAGTATTTGGAGGAGACCAAATACATTTGGTTGTATTTGTATCTTGTACTTAAATGCTTTTTTGAAAATGTAATTAGATTTGTAATTAAATACATTTTTGATGAAGTATTTTGTATTTGTATTTCGATACATATTTGCGTGTATTTTGCCCATCCCTGACCGTATATATCTTGCGGCAGATATTTTGATGTATACCGTCGCACAGAGAAAGAGAGGACATGACAAAAATGTCGAAAGTAAGAGCAAAGAAAACTGCCTCCAACTCTTCAACCTGATTGGCAAGTATGATGAGATTGTAAACAAGAAGTTGAGAGATGTGCCAATGAATGCCAAGTTCATTCATCATTCCGTTCAAGAACAGAGGCATTTTACGCCATCTGATGTTAACGGCTGAGGAAGAAACGAAGGGCTTTCAGCGTTGTGTATTGATGATGGATGAAACCAAAGTCATCAGTAAAACGGAGCAAGTCTGTATTGTAGTGAGGTGGAGCTGTGTGGCGAACACACGACGGCGCCGGTGTCATAGTATCATGAAACTCAAAAGGATGTATAGGCACTGTTAATTTAAGATGCTCCGCATGCGGTTTTTGTGCATTTCGTGAACTACCGCCTAAACCCTGTCATTGTGGATGTGTGCGAAGCAGTAAAACCAAATACGATATAGCTTCGCCAATACTGGAAACTCCTCCAAAAACCTATGGGAGCGGCGGCGAATGTGACAGTGGCGCCTCTAGCGGACTCGGAGTTTACGGGAGCAGACGACGCAATGGAAAAGTATAGGCTCCGCGACGTCCTCGAGCTTCGCGTGCCCCGTTTCGTCACCTCAACAGCAGAAACAATTCATTACGGTCAGTCCGCTTGCAAAGTGGAATCCACTGATCGCAACTGCAAGGACAATCAAATAACAACGCGCGCAGAAACAAAAATAGAGCAGTTTATTTGGAGGTCTCAAACGCCACTCAGGGGGATCACACGCCTTTGAAGCGCATCTGGGAAGTGGAAAACAGGCGTTTAGCTACTCGAACTACGTCATAAAAAGTTACTGTTTATCCGTTACAAACTGCGTTGTCACAATTTCTTACCTGAATAGGTGATTATTAAAACGTGCGCAATCAACATTTTAAATTTACCAATGCCAGCGCACAAGCCTCTGCAGCTTTACAAAAACAAAGAGTAACGAGAAATATTGCGGTGCAAACACTTTCCGAACTTTGCAGGAAAGATGGGGTCCGCATCCCAGACGAAAATAAAAAGAAATGGGGAACAGTTGCGAACAACGGCGAATGAAACAAAAAACGTTAGCAGACGATACAAAGATGCAAATCACCGAGCAAATATTTGCTTCAACGACGACGATCGCACGGAACGTCGAACGTCGGTAGGAGCATTGAAAATTAGCAGGTGGTGCTCGCCGTTGGTGTTGAGTCCACAACAAACAAAATGAAAGCAACACGACGAAACTATTAAAAAAAAAAGCTTTACTTTTTTTTCTTTTCTTTTTTTTTCAGCTGCTCGTTACACGTTTGTTTATTTGCTTTCGCGGCGCTGGTAGTTACTAAGAACAAAACAGAGGAAAGAAAAAACGTAGTCCAACTCACACTGCCCGGTAAATAAGAGTCGCACGCTACAATCTGCTTCGTGCTAGCAGTGTGTGACCTTTTTTTGCTTTTGCATTACTTTCCATAGACTTAACAGGTTTTTTGTTTACTCGCTTGGCGAAGCAGTTCAAAAGTACATTCAAGTCCTTGTTGATGTACATGTCCAGGTAATCTTTGAACACCGTGCCTTTGTTTTCAGTGTCGATCAGCGGCCTCAAGTGCGTTTTCAGCTGAACTTTTGTTTGGTGAAATATTCGTCTGTTGAGGCGTCAGTGGCGATTTTGAAGCCAAACTTGGATAGCTCTTCCAGTTTATTTTGAAGTAACTTAATTCCTCACGTTTGTTCGGTCTTTGGGAAGCGGAAGAAGGATTTTCAACCACATCACAGAAACTTGCTTTTGCAGTAGTAAGCAGCAGATGGCATGCCTGCCGTCTCCAAGTACGCGCTGGTGTATGCCCGAAGGCGGCCGGTTCATCAACCAACGATGACCCATAGCAGACGTGACCACGTATACTCAAATAAAACCCAAATAGAAGCGTATAACGAGCTTACACTTTTTAATATACTTATTAAGTACAAATGGAGACTTCGGATCAGAAACTCAAAAGAAGGCGAACAAAGGAGGTTATCACAGACAATGGAAAAAAAATACTAACAACAACGTTGCAGACGGCCCTGCAGATGACTGGGCATAGCGTAGCAGAC